AAAGTGCATGAATCTTTCTTGTCACCAGTCATCTGTACTACCCCCCCCCACCCTCCTGCGCTCCCTTATCCTCCCTCTGCGGTTGGGTTGAATCATTAATATCCCTACTGGCTGACAGAGCCTTGTCATCTGCTCTGACCCTGTGATGGTAGGTTACCTATGGAGAATAACCTCTCTGCATGTCTCCCAAGGGCATCTTCACATTTCATCATTGAAATGCCCTGAACAAAGTCCTTTTACAAGGAGGCGGGCACAGGATGGGGATGGGTGCCTCTTATATATGAGTGCTTGTGCTCCCGTCAGAAAAGAAGCTGTTAGTTGTGGTTAGAACCGTTTAATTTTTACCATCATAATGTTCTTGTAAGAAGTAATTTAAGGCCTTAATGATATTTTGATGTTTTAATCATTTGTTTCCGTCTTGTTTAATGTTTCTTTCAAATCATATCAGATGGATTTCTTAAATATAATTTTGCCCACCGAGTTTTTTCTTCTTCCATGTCAGTCTGAACGCATCCCCTCCATATAATCCTCAGGTGTTGAAAACCTGACGCAGGCTTTGCCATCTCCCCTTCATCGACGTCGCCATCATCAATTTGTCACGGCTCTTTGCTCACAGGTCTCGTCTGTGCCCATATCCCCTGTCCTTTCTCACCCTCCACTTAGGTGCCGCATGCATGTCCTCTTTGGCTCCCAGCTCAGCCCTGACATAGCGGCTTCTCTATCCCTGCCTGCCTGTGAGAGGATCCGTTGTCATCTATGTATTCCAACCATTATCTTTTGACGTTTCTCTCCCTCCCATTGAAAGACAGTGCGTGTCTGAAAGCTTAGAGAGATATCTGTGATGCTGTCAGAATGACAGCTCTGGCAGACAGGTTGTATCTCCTTTCGTGCTATTTATATGTCGCACTTATTCTTATCAGCTTTGAAGATCATTACATACAAGGAAATATAACCATTAAGTCTGCGTGAGCGTTAACTCTCTATAAACAGGGCTTCTTTTCAAGTTTTGTTGATTTACATATTAGAACTAGTGTCAGTTTGATTCGTTTACACATTTTGTTAGATTCTCTGTTAGTCTCTTCAGCATAAACACGGCCTACAAGGCGACCTTTCGTAAAGCAGCAGTGTGATACAGTCAAAGCTGAGCTGTTGTTCTCTTTCAGGTACTTTGTTCTGTTCAAGTTGCCCCAGCTGAAGTTCCTGGACACGAGGAAAGTCACCCAAAAAGAAGTGATGGAGGCCCAGGCGAGAGGAGCATTTATGAAAGTGGTCAAACCAAAATCAGAAGCTGTAAGTAAGCTCTGTTTTTTGGGGTTTTTGTGTGTGTGCACTGTTTTAAGTTGTCGTCGCTCTGAAGTCCTGACTGGATTTGTCACATTCATCCCTTCCTTCCCTCTTCTATTCTTATCCTTTATCCTCCCTTTCTTCCTGTGCATGCTTGACTGTCAGTCTCCCTTTGCAGAGGTCCTACCACTGTGGCCCTTTGTAAAGAGCCTTTCTTTGCTATTGCTTTTGCGTCTGCGTGTGTGTGTGTAGATGTGGGTGTGACCACGGCCTGACCTGATTCCGTATGCATGAGCCCAGATCAAAGACGACGGGCGGCTGTCCGGTCGCTGTTGTGTTGCCAAGTGTGACATGGCTGGCGATTGGAGTGACAGCTCACGTACACGGCGCTCACAATCGCTTAATTATCCCGAGCCCGTGCACTTATTCCTCCCTCTCTTGTTTTGGGCCACACAGACTAATTAGAGTTCGGGAGGTTCACAGATATACCCACCTCACCCCTTTTTCACCCCCTTTATTTATTCCCCCTACTCCTTCGATAATACAATATAAATGAACAGCTTTAGCCTAGGTTTGATTTCATGTAATTGTAAGGTCATAAAATATTTACTGTTTGGATTAGCTAGGCTTTGTCATTTCAAGGCCTCTGGGGCTCCGACAGTGAGCCTGGGAGGTAAAAACGGATCCAGAGTAGCACAAGTGTAGGGATCCAGTGACAAATCAGAAGCATGTGAGTCCATGTCCGGGTTTAAAAGTGCACGAGGAAAACAAAATATTTATTGTTCGAGACAATCAGCTTTTGGTGTCACTTCATGCTGAGCTTTGTTCTGGATTCTTCACACGAGTGGCAAGTGAGGAAGCGAAACACTGAAATAATTTAACCCCAGCCTGGCATGTTTGGTAGACGGAGAAAAGTGGAATGAAAACACTGTTCATCTGCTTTATATGAAAAGAAACTGAGGACCTCTACAATGCTTCTTGGCAGGGTAAAGTCACTTTATAGGATTTTATTTACATAGCTTGTCAGTGGAGAGGAAATGTTTTCCTGTGCTGCAGATGAAAGGAGAGATAATCACTGATTCGAGCTGACACGATGTGTTTTTGTGTCTTTGAACCTCTTGTATATTATGCAAAGTAAAAGGTTCCAGCTTTGATGAAAATGTGTCTTCTTGCTCACAGTATTTTGTGCTGTCCTCTCCTTCGGTTCCTTCATTAGCAGAGTCCATCTGAACAATGCGTGGAGAGATCTTTCGCCCAGAGGTATCCCGTGTCTGGGCTCTGCGATGTCGACGCGCACAGCAGCATTTCCATAACACTTCTTTTGAGTTAGATGAGATGTGATGTGTCAACCATCACAGGCCCGATGAGCCATGAGTACCTCCCGGCTCTAATTGTCCACATCGTCAGAGTGATTGTGAGCTGACCAATAGTGCGGGCCACCAATTAGCAAAAAACGTCTGTGACAGAACAGGAAAGCGAGCAGAGATTATGGCGTAATTAGATATTTGTGTTTGCTATTATGTCTGCTACAGCGGGGTGTTGCTCATAACACTGGCTCATGGTACAGTGTCTGCCATTCGCTTCATTACAAAGGACGGTAATGAGCTGTCTTACTGTCGCATGTGCTACCATTTGAGTCTCAATTAGACTGGAGGTGAAAATGTACAGGACCACAGATGTGTTTTAAAGATTTATTTACGAAACGACTTAACTCTGTGTGTATCATTTACAGGCTTTTTCCTCTTGGTGCACTTATTTTTCCTCTAAGACCAGGAATGACAAATCTCTTTCCTACTGTTAACAGTAGATTAAATTGAAACCATAGAAACTGCAGTGACTGCAGCAGGGTTACGGTGATACATGCCCGTTGATGACAGCATAAATCTGAAGAGAATGCTCCTCGATCAGATTTTTTCCATTGCACTGTGAATGTATTGGAATAGTTAATGTGCTGAACTTTGGAGACCTCTCATGAGTCATATCAGAGTGGATGGTGACCACAGTTTAAACTCCCTTTCAATCATGCCGTTACTACATGGCACCGAGCGACGCCACATGGTTCGGATAAAGCAGTTATGGTCCTTAGCACAATCCGAGGACCATAACTTTTCATACATTCCCAATGTTTTCTGTGTTGCTTAAATCACAACCAGACAGTCAACAGCCGGTTATTTTCAGGAAGAGGGACATACTCACATAAAAAAGTCTCTGTTGAGATGTGTGAGCAAAATGTATCAAAAGAAGCTGTAGTCTTCAGAAAATTTTCCAATGAATCAAATCTCAAAGATGAAGAACCAAAAAAATGTGAAAAATAAAAATCCATGCCCATGTTTATACAATGAGGATAATATTGTGACTTTTCTAATTTATTTAATCATCAGTGTCTTGTCTTCATGCTGAAATGTTCATGACACTAAAGCTGCTTTCAGACAGAACTCCAGATAATCTCCTGAAATTATCTTGATGGGCTGTACGATAGAACACATGTTCACGTCTGAAGCTGCGGACAATCTCCATAGTTTCTCTTGCCAGCCCCCGAGTCCAACATCTGGTTAATGTCTAAATGAGCCCATGTGCGTAAACAGCAGGAGATCCTCCACTGACACAGACGTCAAACTGAAGATAACAAAATACAAATATCTCAGGATTACTTCCTGCCTCTATATGCTGCGCCACCCTTTGCCTCAACGTTTTCTGTTGTTGTGGATGCGACTGACCGCAGAATATCTGTGAAAGGCAAACTCTGGAAAGTCTGGACCTAATTGTGCGGACATTCTCCGGAGTTCATGTCTGAAAAGGCTTAAGTCGGTAACACTGCTGGCTATGACTTGGCTGCATGTTTTGATGTTTGCCGTGAGGGGTGGATAGTTGTGTGTGTGTGTGTGTGTGTGTGTGTGTGTGTGTTTGTTGGTGGGGGGTGGGGGGGTAATTGTCTCTTTTCCATTTTTGATATGTTGCATTTCTGAGCGGACATGACAAGTAGCTGGACAGAAACGGAGGCTAAATGACAAAGACGAGAGCAGCGGAGCAGGAAAAAAAAGTATAAATACCTGAAGTAAACAAAAAAACACCACAGAGGGTACGATTGAAGTGTTTTCCCCCAAAAGCCACAACACTAAGCAGAGTCGGAGTGGAAAAGCCTTGAGCTGTATTTTGGGAAATTGGGCGTGTTGGAATGCTATAATGTGATAATTCTCTTTGAGGACTTAGAGGTCATGGAGTGAAATGGCGTTAAACCACATAGAGCCATTTGGACTGAGCTGGGGCTGCTTTCGGAAAATTCATGTGGTAAGTTTTGGCTCGGCCCTGCCACCTCCTTCCACTCCGCCACGGACCCGATATTATGCTGTCGAACCCTTGGGTTAAACTGGCCGTGTCTATCAAAACACTGTGACAGTACTTTCTGTTTTCAGATCCTGAGCGCTGCTAAAAAAAAAAAGAGCGCGTAGCAAATTTAACTAGTAGAATAACATTTACTCCTTGCCACATGTTCAAGAGTGTTTCACAGTGAATAAAGTAAGCCCATGGTCCCCGTCACTAAGCCCAGCCTAGTAGCTACGTCAGCGGGTATAAATGTTCCTCGGATGTCACTTAGATTTTGCCTGCATGAAGTATTTGACTCGATTTTGTAGCATGAACACACGTTTATATTTTTCCTCGTATCCTTCTGTGTATAATGTAAAGCAGACTGCATTGCAGGGTGGCTCAAGCCAGCTCCCAGGTCCCATGAGTCTCACACACATAGGGTAACGGTTCTTCAAGGGAATTGACAGTGACAGAGCCAGGAAAGTCCTCAAGTGGATCTTTTCAGTTCTGTTTTTTCTTCCCTAGACACTAACCTGTTTTACTCCATTTTACAGCAGTTCATTTTAAGTTTACACCGAAGGGAGCGGTCCAAATCTAAGATGGACTGCATGGTTTCAGACCCATGATTGTGCATTATGTGATGCATGATTGTGGCTCTTTTTTTCTTTGCAACTCAACTCTGGAAAATAAGGAGGAATTCTTCTATAAGTTGGCTGTTTGGCTTCCTTTTCAAGTCTCAAATGTATCCTGTAAAGTATGTTGCCACGTTCATCTGTGTGCTTGAGAGTTATGAGTTCCCCAAGCTCTCAAAAATAACAAACAGCATGCAATATAGCGCTTTGTGAATGTGCCTTCAGTGGGTTAGCTGAATCATTTTACTGAACAAATGTGTCCTCGGAGAAAACTCAAAGAATATGGTTCTCAACAGGGGAAGGAAATACAACCCGACAGATTGCTGTGGAAGCAAGTTTATTACCAGTCCTCGCTCTCTGCTAGATTCTGCATTTGCGTCGGCTGTTACACATGCACGACCCTGATATGTCACCTTTCTTTCATGGCACATTCCTGAATCAATACGTATACAGTAGGTTGACTGAGGACAGAGCTGCGGATTGAGTGGGAGTTGTGGGCAAAATGAAACCACAGCGAGTGCCTGTCTGCTTTATGTTCAGACAAATAAACTCGCTGACAGATTGTGATGTGCTCGCTTTCAAATGATGTTCTTTCCCCTCTTACATAATGTCTTGTTATCTGTTAATTGCATCACATGAGACGCGGCTGTTCTCCGTCTCTTAATGACAGCGTATCCTAAATGTTAAAACAGCTGTTTATTATTGTTCAAACGTGTTTAGTTTGCGTGATGGATGAAGTACACTTTGTGCCTGTGTCAGATATTTCCAGGGGAGAGCCACGTGTTCTCTCAGGTATGTGTATGTGTCTGTTAGTGTCTGTGTGAGTCATGCAGACCTGTGTGTGTGTGTGTGTTTGTCGGTAAACGACTGCTGAAGTGTGAGTCAGTTCAGTGCTCACACCGGCCTAACAGGCCCAGTTCTGATTACTCTGGCAGCTTAAACCAAGAGGTCACGCAGGGGTTATAAACCAGGAAAACAACAGCAATTAAGTGGGAGTGACTCACACTGTCCACATAAATCACCCAGGCCGTGCATATCATAAACACATTGTAAAACTTTAAAGCACAA